ATCCACCCGCTTTTCACTGCCTTCGAGTTCATCATGACTCAACAGGCGGCCAGACTTGCAACCCTCCATCTGCACCTTTGTGGCATCGTGTGAGTTGTATTAGATTTGCTATTGAGCCTTTTTTAATCGATGGATCACTTCCTTGAACTGCCGCAGGGGTTCGTCCCAACTCGGCATCTACAGAAAATCACTTTGCTGGTCTGCCTGCGATGCTTTGCCGCTGGCTGAAGGCAAGCTTTTCCTTTGCTCCAATGCAGCTGACGTCTCTGTTGCCTCTTTGGTCTCGGCTGGCAGCTGCGGTGTCTCTGGCCCGCCACCATGCTCGCCTTGCTTTTGTTGCTAAGGGTGGTCAGCAGCTTGCTCGGCTTGCCGCTTTGGCTCAGCCTGCGCTTCTGCTGAGGCCAGCTGGCTTCTGGCCTCGTCCTGCTGCTCTGCGTTTGCTTTGTCACTTCTGTCTTCTTGAGTCTTGTCCCTTTGCGCCGCTGCTGCCTCTTTGGTTGCCGCGCCGGTTCCAGCTTGCTCTTCCTGCGGTGCTTTGCCGCTAGCTGGTTGCAAGCCTTTCCCTTGCTTTTGCTCCAATGCAGCTCCCGTTTCTGTTGCCTTCTTGTTCTCGGCTGGCAACTGCGGTGTCTCTAACCCTTCTGGCTCCTTGAGAAATGAGGAGTCTTGAAAATGCTCGCCATGTGCAGGCCCTGCTTGAGGCTTGCTCGGCGCTTGCACTTGTTGCTTAGAGCGGTCATCAGCTTGCTCCCTTTGCTGCTTTGGTTGCGAGGGCGCCTGTGAAGCCTGCTGCTGCTGCTGCTGCTGCTGCTGCTGCTGTTGCTGCTCTGCGTTTGCTTTGGCGCTTCTTTCTTCTTCAGTCTTGACTCCTGCCGCCTCTACAGCCTCTTTGGCTGCCGCACCGCTTCCTGCCACTTGCTCTGCCTGCGGTGCTTTGCCGCTGGCTGGTTGCAAGCTTTTCCCTTGCTTTTGCTCCAATGCAGCTGCAGTCTCTGTTGCCTCCTTGTTCTCGGCTGGCAACTGTTGCCTCTCTGACCCTTCAGGCTCCTTGGGAAATGAGGAGTCTTGACCATGCTCGCCATGCGCAGGCCCTTCTGCACTTCGGCTAGGCGCCGGCCGTTCGGCATTGTCTGCTTGAGGCTTGCTTGGCGCTTGCACTTGTTGCTTAGAGCGGTCATCAGCTTGCTCCCCTTGCTGCTTTGGTTGCGCGGGCGCCTGTGAAGCCTGCGAAGCCTGCTGCTGATGCTGCTGCTTTTGCTGCTCTGCGTTTGCTTTGTCGCTTCTGTCTTGTTGAGTCTTGTCTCTTTGCGCCGCTGCTGCCTCATTGGTTGCCGCGCCAGTTCCAGCTTGCTCTGCCTGCGGTGCTTTGCCGCTGGCTGGTTGCAAGCTTTTCTCTTGCTTTTGCTCCAAAGCAGCTGCAGTCTCTGTTGCCTCCCCGGTCTCGGCTGGCAACTGTTGCCTCTCTGACCCTTCAGGCTCCTTGGGAAATGAGGAGTCTTGACCATGCTCACCATGCGGTTTCGCGGGCGCCTGTGAAGAAGCCTGCTGCTGCTGCTGCTGCAGCTGCTGCTGCTCTGCGTTTGCTTTGGCGCTTCTTTCTTCTTCAGTCTTGACTCCTGCCGCCGCTGCAGCCTCTTTGGCTGCCGCACCGCTTCCTGCCACTTGCTCTGCCTGCGGTCCTTTGCCGCTGGCTGGTTGCAAGCTTTTCCCTTGCTTTTGCTCCAATGCAGCTGCAGTCTCTGTTGCCTCCTTGTTCTCGGCTGGCAACTGTTGCCTCTCTGACCCTTCAGGCTCCTTGGGAAATGAGGAGTCTTGACCATGCTCGCCATGCGCAGGCCCTTCTGCACTTCGGCTAGGCGCCGGCCGTTCGGCATTGTCTGCTTGAGGCTTGCTTGGCACTTGCTCTTGTTGCTTCGAGCGGTCCTCAGCTTGCTCTCCTTGCTGCTTTGGTTGCGCGGGCGCCTGTGAAGAAGCCTGCTGCCGCCGCTGCTGCTGCTGCTCTGCGTTTGCTTTGTCGCTTTTTTCTTCTTCAGTCTTGTCTCCTTCCGCCGCTGCAGCCTCTTTGGCTGCCGCACCGCTTCCTGCTACTTGCTCTGCCTGTGGTGCTTTGCCGCTGGCTGGTTGCAAGCTTTGCCGTTGCTCTTGCTCAACTGCAACTGCCGTTTCCGTTGCCTTGTCTGCTGGCCACCGCGCTGTCTCTGGCCCTTCAGGCACCTTGGGAAATGAGGAGTCTTGACCATGCTCACCATGCGGTTTCGCGGGCGCCTGTGAAGAAGCCTGCTGCTGCTGCTGCAGCTGCTGCTGCTCTGCGTTTGCTTTGGCGCTTCTTTCTTCTTCAGTCTTGACTCCTGCCGCCTCTGCAGCCTCTTTGGCTGCCGCACCGCTTCCTGCCACTTGCTCTGCCTGCGGTGCTTTGCCGCTGGCTGGTTGCAAGCTTTTCCCTTGCTTTTGCTCCAATGCAGCTGCAGTCTCTGTTGCCTCCTTGTTCTCGGCTGGCAACTGTTGCCTCTCTGACCCTTCAGGCTCCTTGGGAAATGAGGAGTCTTGACCATGCTCGCCATGCGCAGGCCCTTCTGCACTTCGGCTAGGCGCCGGCCGTTCGGCATTGTCTGCTTGAGGCTTGCTTGGCACTTGCTCTTGTTGCTTCGAGCGGTCCTCAGCTTGCTCTCCTTGCTGCTTTGGTTGCGCGGGCGCCTGTGAAGAAGCCTGCTGCCGCCGCTGCTGCTGCTCTGCATTTGCTTTGTCGCTTTTTTCTTCTTCAGTCTTGTCTCCTTCCGCCGCCGCAGCCTCTTTGGCTGCCGCACCGCTTCCTGCTACTTGCTCTGCCTGTGGTGCTTTGCCGCTGGCTGGTTGCAAGCTTTGCCGTTGCTCTTGCTCAACTGCAACTGGTGTTTCCGTTGCCTTGTCTGCTGGCCACCGCGCTGTCTCCGGCCCTTCTGGCCCCTTGAGAAATGAAGAGTCAGCACCTTGCGCACCAAGCGCAGGTGCTTCTCCTTCTGCCTCCCGGGGAAATGTGGAGTCAGCGCCACCTTGTTCGCCATGCCGAGGCGCTTTCGCGTTGCCTGCTTCAGGCTCGCCTGGTGCCTGTTCTAGATGCGTAAGGCTGTCGTCAACTTGCTCTGCTGCGGCAACTTGACTTTTCCTTCTGGCCTGGTGCGGCTGGAGCTCAGCGTCCACTTTGTCGCGTATTTGTCCGTCAGTCTGGCCTTTCACATCTGCACCACCCTCCACTGCGCAGTTCGCCGTTTCGGTTGCTGCGCCAGTCACTGCACCACTTGCTGCTCCCGACTTTGCTTGTGGCGGTGCGCTGCTTGCAGCTGAATGCATGCTCTGCTTCTGTGTCGCAGCGGGTGTTTCTGTCGGCGGGCCGTCATTACTTTGCTCCTCTTGCCGCTTTGGGGGAGGTACCTCTGTCATGTGACTTGTCTGCTCCAGCTGCTGCTGCTGCTGCTGCTGCTGCTTCTCTGCCTCTGCCACCTCTGACTCGCATGCGGCTGTGCTGCCAGCTGCGCCAGCTGCATCAGCTACTGTGCCGGTTAGTGCGCTAGCGGCGGCATTGCTTGCTTCCGGATGGACAAGCGACTGCTCCGTTTGCGTGGCAGCTGCTGCAGTAGCAAGAACCTGCCAGGGGTCCGACAGCATCTCAGCTTTGGACAAGCAGCCTATCTGCCGACCGCGTGGGGTCAATACCTACAAGATATCTACAAGTAGCGCTAACAAACAGCCACTATGAGCAACCACTGAGCGGTCCAGCCGCTAGGCATAAATCGGAGTCGTCATGTCCAATGTTACACGCGGCAATGCGCATTTGATTGACTGCGGGACGTGGACCATGGCCAGCACTGGCGCACACACCTGCAGCTTCGGTTGATGGATGCGCTCCCTACATCCCATCGCTTGCAAACTGTGCCCTGGGCCGCTGGCCCATCATCGCACCAAAGGGAAACGCGAAGGAAAAAAGACATGTTCTTTTTGCTTTGTTGCTTTCGTTTTTTGTTTTTTTTTTTTGGGGGGGGGAGAGGAAGGGGCCCCTTTGGACTCATACCGAACACTCATAGGTATATCCGGAATGCATCAAACAACCGCGGCCAGTTCGACCCACCGCGCTGCCGCGCATGCCTGGCCTGCGCACTGCGCTCCCGGCGCGGGCTACGCATGCCCCGCCTGCCAGGCTCCTGGCGAACACATGAGGCCAGGGTTAGCCAACTCCTGGTTAAACCATAGTCAAGCCATGTTTGTTTGTTTTGGTTTTTTGTTTGTTTGTTTTTTTTTGGGGGGGATGGAACCACCAAGCCGTTTCAAGAACCCACCAAAAAGAAGAGAAACATGAGCCATTTCCCTATAGGGTGCTTTGCCAAACCCTGGAGCGCGGACCTTTCTATGAAAGCTAAAACGAAATCTACTAGGGCCTTCCCGCTATAGGTTCACAGATGCCCCCAAATGCCGGCAACAAGCACCAACTTCACCTGCGCGCCCTGCACCTTGAGGTCCTGCCGGCTAGTTCACACGGATCTTGGGACTCCAGGAGCCATTCGGGATCGGAAGGAGTCATCCTTGTTCGCTTTCCTCGCCGCTGGGTTTTGCCGGCGGCTGATGTCCAAAGTGGCTCCATTCAAGCCGCGGACTGTTCTGCAAAGAGGGCCACTTCTGAAGAGAAGATTGATCTGACAATGTCTTTGGGGGGGGCACCTGACTCTGGGAATATTGTAGGAAATGGATGGCAAATGATTGAAATGCTGGTGGCTCCTCGCAGTTCACATTTGCTGCTCCTTTATTTTCCACGATTGGTTGCGCAACTTGTTCAAACAACCAACCCCTGGCCCGCTTTTGGAAACCAACAAGCAGCAGGCTCAGTTGTTCAAACACGTGCTCCTTTTGCGGCAAAGCCCCAGTACAAGTCGAAGGTACCAAGACTCAAGCATGGCTCAAACCAGGTGGTACCAACCTCTCACTCTCCGAGTTGATGGGACAATACAAGTCAGATTTTTTTGTGAACCACTAACATGGTCTTCCCAAAACGTTTCAAGTCCAGGAACTCGGGAAGTGAGACCTGGACCTTTCTTCGCCCTCGATTCCTCGACTCCTCGACTCCTCGACCCGGTCACCCGGTCACCCGGTCACCCGTCTCCTGTGCGAAGTGCGGCAGCGCCTCCCGCGGCGGCGAGAAGTAGCGGGGCGGAGCTGGTCGGTCAGGCGCTGGCTTCGGGGAGAAGCTGGGCCGCTGCAGCGCCTGTCCGGGTGAATTATAATATTTCCCCAACCTGACATCTGGGTGGTTGGGCATTTTTGTGGTTAAACATATGTTTTGGTAACCAGCATTTTTGGAGGAGTCGGTGCCAACATATGGCCATGGATCAAAATCCAAATTATATCCGCAGTGAACATCCCAATCCAACCACTAAAATTGGTTCTAAAATGGGTGGTGAATTCACCTACCCCAAAATGGGATCCCATTGGTTTTGACCCACAGCCATAATTTCACCAACCTGAAATAAGGTGGTTGGGCGGCTATTCCCCACATAAACCAACATTTGGGGTGAGGTCGTGTGAGGTCGTTATAATTCACCCAGCTGTCATCAACTTTTCTGCGGTAGGCAGGGAATGACAACTAGTCCGGGTGTTGGAAAAGCAACGGAAGGGGTCATTGGGTGAATGGTTAGCTTAGCCAACCCGAAACTTCCCAACCGAAAAGGGAAACCCCCAGGAGTGAGTGACAGAAAGTTGAACCCAACCCGTTGGAAACCTTGTTGCCCCGATTGGCAGGGACTTTCCGAACGCCGAACTAAACCATTCAACGAGTTCTTCGGGCCCCCCTTTTCGCCTCATTCACAAAGCTCACATAGAGTTTTGCTGCGACGCAGCCACCTTCTTGTAGCCATGATTTCAAGTGTTACAGCCGCCATTCCAACAACCTTCGTTTGGTCTTCCCAAGGTTGGTTGTTTAAGCAAGTCCCGCAACCAACCCTTGCCCCTGCGCCCAAACCACCGGCTTGGCGAAGGAACTGTCCGGGCAGAACAACCTCCGATGTAGCATCCGACGTTGCGAGAAACGGATACATTGTGAGTACAGTGCTTCTGCGAGGTGTGCTCTGCCACAAGAATTTTTTTTTTCAAGTCATAAAATGCCAAGCAGTTTACAAAGCATCAAACATACATACCAGCAAATCTCTTTGGAACTAAGTTGCGATCTGGGGGTTGGTCAATATTCCTAGATCCCCAAATGACCATGTGGAACTTTTCCCATTTAGCGGTTGAAATATCATCTTTTTCGTAGTTTCCAACCAATGATCATCCCATGCATACCGGACCCTTTGATCACCCCCCATATGTCGCTTCCACTGCTCCTTCAGTTTTGTCAACTGGGCTTAAAGCCTCGCCTGCTGCAGCGCAGCGTCCAGCTCCGCCTCCTTTTCCCGCAGCTGGGCCTCGCCCACGCGCAGTGAGGTGCGTAAAACTCGCAGGGTCTCACTGGCGAATCTCAGAAAAAAAACCCTTACAAAACACAACAAGGAATGGCGTCCCTCATTGCCCACTGAGACCAACAAGACAAGGAGGCCTGCACCAGCAACATGGGAGTCACAAAGACTTGGGCGTGAAGACAAGGCGCAAATGCTGGCATCCAGACGCTAAGGTGCGGCAAAGAGTGTGGTCCCCAAACAAGTTGCACGTGCCAAAGAAAATGTGTTGGAACAAACAGCTGCAGAGCATAGCAGCAGCCAAGGCGACACACACAGCAACAGCAGCAACAACAGCGGTAACAGCAGCACCACCATCAAAGCCACCACCACCCGCGACAATACAGCAACAGCAGCAACAACAGAGGTAACAACAGCACCACCACCAAGACCACCGCCGCCGCCGCCGCCGCTGCCCAACTGCAGCAACCGTAACTGTAACAGCAACAGCAAGAGCAACAAGAGCAAGAAGGACAAGAAGAACAAGAGGAACAAGAGGAACAAGAGGAACAAGAGGAACAAGAGGAACAAGAGGAACAAGAGGAACAAGAAGAACAATAAGAACAATAAGAACAAGAAGATCAAGAAGAACAAGAACAAACAGAACAACAACAAAAAACAACAACAAAAACAACAATAACAACACGAACAAACATAAGAAGAACACTAACAAGAACAAGAACAACAACAAGAACAAGAACAACAACAATAACAATAACAACAACAATAACAATAACAACCACAACCAACAACAAACAACAAACAACAACAAACAACAACAAACAAACAAAGTAGAAACAAACACACAACAAACAACAACACACACCAAACAACACACAACAACAAGCACCAACATACAACAAACAACAACAACAAACAACAACCAGCAACACGCAAACAAAACACAACAAACAACAACAAACAAACAACAACACACAAACAGCAACAATCAAACAAGCAAACAAATAAAGAAACAAACCAACAAACCAACCAACCAACTAACAAACAAACAATCACACAAACAAGCAAACAACAACAAACCAACCAGCTAACCAGCAAACCGACCGTCTGACCAACCACCAACCAACCAACCAACCAACCAAACAACAGCAGCAGCAGCAACAACAACGAGTAGCATAAGACAGCAGCAGCAGCAGCAGCAGCGCAACTGCAAAAGAGCACAGCAGCAGCAATTGCAAAAGCAACAGCCACAGCAACCACAACCACATCGTTAATTAGTAGGCACAATAACGGAAGACAGCGGAAGACAGCTTCAAGAGCAACAGCAACAGCAGTAAGTGCCAATTTGCAAAGTCAGGAGGGGGAACAACCAGGCTCTGGTTGGCCGAGACGCGTGGCAACGGCTCATAAGCACATACCTGGATGTCCAGGCCCAGGGTGGCGCAGGGAGCTGCATTAGTGTATGTGCAGGAATCGGCAGTGCCATTGTCCCTCGCGCTCGTCATCACATGTTAAGCCCAACACGAAGTGGCTGACCAGAGGTGCATGGGTGCTCATCTCGCTATGTGGCTTGCAAGCGATTTTGCTTCGGCAAATGCTGGCAACAAATCTGGCTCCAGTGTGGCTACAATGCAGGCAGTGCTTCATTCCTTGCCCAAGCCAGCAAGGAACATCGATTCGCAGCAAGCGTGAAGAACATCACGAGCAGTGTAAGCCTAGCTGGTTCTCAGCAGGGAATGAAGGAATGACCCTTAACCATCCAAGGCTGGTTTCCTTTCAGGGGACCGGACCAAGGCCTGGGTTCATCCCCACCTCTACTTATCGCACCGATCGCCATTTGCGATGGGAAGGTTGAGCGCGCCTCCAAGCCGCTGAGACGCCACAAGGCCCGGTGGATCGGCTCCTTGGCGCTTCGTGCCGAAGTGAGCTTCCCGCGCCCCGTATGGTTTTTGGTGAGGGCTCCGTTATTTCGTTTTGCGAGGCTTTCTGCAAACTTCTGCTGCAACCAACACTGCTTTGCTAAGGTGATCTACGCATATTTTGACCGTGACTCATGTAAAAAAACAGCTAAGAGAAAGTGGTCGAAGGATACGTTAGGCATTCTGGCCACCGGGTTGGTTCTCGAGCCAAGACGAAAAGTCCAACAATGGGACCCTGAAATTCTGTTTTTTTTCAATATGTCCAAAAACTGAAATAAGGGATCCCCAAGTAAGGGTCTTTACCATGGAGCTCGTTTTACACCCGAATCGGTGAGCTCGCCATAAATTATGCAGATTGGATGGGTTGAGAGGGAAAGCGAAGGGACACACACATTCTTTGGCAGGGCTGCCCTGATTTGGCGACAGGCCAAGGGCGACACCAAGGAGCACAATGAGCAAGCGAGACTTAATTGGATGAGCCGTAGGGTGGGGGCACAGGTCAGTGCTGAGCGTTGTTGTGTGTTGTTGTGTGTTGTTGTGTGTTGTTGTGTGTTGTTGTGCGTGTTGTGTTGTGTTGTGTTGTGTTGTGTTGTGTTGTGTTGTGTTGTGTTGTGTTGTGTTGTGTTGTGTTGTGTTGTGTTGTGTTGTGTTGTGTGGTGTGGTGTGGTGTGGTGTTGTGTTGTGCTGTGTTGTGTGTGGTGTGGTGTGTGGTGTGTGGTGTGTGGTGTGTTGTGTGTTGTGTTGTGTGTTGTGTGTTGTGTGTGTTGTGTTGTGTGTTGTGTTGTGTGTTGTGTGTTGTGTGTTGTGTGTTGTGTGTTGTGTGTTGTGTGTTGTGTGTTGTGTGTTGTGTGTTGTGTGGTGTGGCGTGGTGTGGTGTTGTGTTGTGCTGTGTGTGGTGTGTGGTGTGTGGTGTGTGGTGTGTTGTGTGTTGTGTGTTGTGTGTTGTGTTTTGGGTGTGGGTGTGTGTGTGTGGGTGTGTGTGTGTGTATGTGTGTGTTTGTAATTGTGTTTGTGTTTGTGTTTGTGTTTGTGTTTGTGTTTGTGTTTGTGTTTGTGTTTGTGTTTGTGTGTGTGTGTGTTTGCGTGTTTGTGTGTGTTTGTGTGTGTGGGTGTGTCTGTGTGTCTGTGTGTTTGAGTTGTTTGTGTGTGTAGGCGATGGACCTAACCATTGATGATTCTGCTTCCCTTCTTTTTGCCTTAGCTAACAACATGCCGCTAAACTATGAGAACTTTGATTTGGCCCATGGTGATGAACATGAATAGGCAACGACACGCATTAGTAAAGACAAGAGAAAATCAGTATTGTAGCAGTACCCGACCAGCACACTCACATGCTGGACCCTGCTAATCCTACACCGAGGTCAAACCATCGGTGGCAGCTGTGGTCTTGTTGAAGCCGCCATGTCAAGCCCGTTCCTTCGAATCCGACGCGAGGAACGGCTGAACCCAAAACACGTCCAGGCCTCCTGCGGGAACGCGTCGGAGTCGCAAGCGTCCGGGGCCTAAGGCAATCCGTGCTAGCCACTTTGAGGCAAGCATTTGGGAGGGGCGGCAACGTGTTGCGGGCAACTCCGCTTCACCCTTATAAGTCTTGATGAAAGAACACAGTCATATGTTTAAAGGAACAGATCCCAAGAATCAGAGGCGCAACCATTTCAGTTCGGTCACTCTGGCTTCGCAACGATTCGTTCAATGTACCCCCTTGGATACCGCAGTGCCAAACGCAAAATTCCCTTTGCGGGCGACGGCTGGCCCCATTGTTTTTGCCAGAGAGTCAGCAAAGTGGCACGACTGCATGGACTTTGATCACAGTCAAAATGGGTGTGTCAAAAAAACAAGGACCACAGAAATTGTGGTTTTCCGTGTCCTTTGCTTCTAAATCAAGTTGGAAAGGGCATCCTTGCGAGCAACACAACCCCAAATGCGCCCATTGGCACCTGCGCATGAATCTTGGCGATGATGGTGTCCAGACGTTGAAAGTGCCTAGGCCAGGTGCCCACTGCAGGGAAAGGGATGCGGGCTCACAAAAGACCTGCCTCAACTTGTGTCCCCAACCCCCAAAAAAAAAAGAAAAGAGAGAGAAAAGTTCGATTCTGGTCCATATCGAATTGAACCTTTGAAGGTGATCAGCTAAACAACTTCAAAGGCATCCAAAGCAGAGTGGAAGCCCTGAAGGATGTCCGGTTTCCTCTTGGCTTCCCTGTGCAGCAGCCCCAAACAGACTCCAGAAAACGATGGCCTCGAAAAGACGGGCCGTTGCATCGACAAGAATGCCATTTGATGCTGTTGGTATTCGATTCTTGGCCGCGGACCGCAACCGTGGAGTGCACTTCCAGGCTCCCGGCCAAGTGTTTCGCGTGTGTTTGTGCGGACTGGGAGAAGCCCAAAACATGAGCCACTTTTTGTTGTTCATTGTGCGCCCCTTTGACCTAGGCTGGAATTAGGACCCCAGCAAAAAAATATATTTTTTGCCTGGTTAGTGGCAAACAAAACAAACCCCAAAAAAGCAAAAAAGGAAAAAGGGGAGCTAATTCTGGGGAAGTGACATGGACATTTCGCAACGCCTTTTCTTTTCTACTGGGAATTCGTGAGCATACTCAATGTTCGTCCCTTCACTGCGGTAAGTGATGATATCTTCTCACCATTGCCCATATCGGCTCGAATGTCATCAACGGTGCCTCCGAATCCAATGGCCACTGATTTCGGTTCAACCTCGGATTTCTGGGGCTTCTTTCCCTCTCAAGCTATCTGCATGTGCCATCCCAAAACCTGAAACAAGAATTGGACCTCCAAGCAAGGGACTTCCATCGGTTTCCCTCGTGAGCTCGCCAGAAAATAGGTAGAAACTACCTAGGTAGCCAAGTTGCTGCCGTTTTCAATCACTGTTGCTGGTTTTTGGGGTAAAGTGCATGGGGAAAAAAAAACAGCCACTGGCGATCCACGTATGCCCAAAAAAAGAAGGCATCAAACACATCCTCCGGCGGGCAAAAAAAACACAGCGCATTCTCGGCCGCGCGCTGGTCGAAGGAGCGCGTAAATGACCTGGGACTGGGTGCCAGCTTCCGAATTGCCTTAACTTCCCGGGGGTAGTGATCGGCTTCCGAAACCCAACCAGGGAGAATTGAAAACTACTGTGGGGGGGGACATATGGACAGCTACAGGAGGATTTGTGTTCACCCTTCATTTTTGAGAAATTCAACCTCACAGGCACTTTGCACCAAGACCCGATAGTCATGGAAGTGGACATGGAGATTCCCCAGATTGGGAGAGTAGTCCTCCCACATCTTCCTGGCTTTCCTGATTGTTGGAATGGTACTGCATGCTTGAATGGAAAAAAAACAACCTACTGTGGATGGACGAGGTCCGTTCGCACACTTTGAAGCCATATGGGAAAGAATGGTACTTACAAGGAAATCATCATTCCAGGATTTCTTAGGTGGTGCAGGATCTTGCAAGTGAGCCATGCACCACCGTTTGCTGAGAGTATTTCGCAAGAGCGTCACGGCCAAGGGATCAGCCCCCAAACCTCCCTTGACTCGTCGTCTTCCACCGGCCCCCGCGCCATCACTTCCATTTGGTTAAGGCCCCTGGAAAAAATAAAATAAATATGTCTAGTGGTGATAGATTCCCATTAAAAACCACCCAAAAAAAACATTTCAGCAAATGGAAGATCACCATTTTCCTCTCGTCAGCCCCACTTCGGCAGCAGCCGCTCGGCGATGCCGCAGCGAGATGCTAGACCCTCGGGAGGTGGACCTAGGTGTGGAGGAGTGACACGGGGGGCATACCGAAGGCCCCTCCATGGCGCGATGGGTCTGAAGCAAATAAACCGCAAAATATATACCCGAAATCGGTCCATTGGAGGCGCTCCTTTTCGTGGAGAAGAGGTGGGGTGGTTCAAATCACACCCCAGAATTTGGAAAACACACACACGTTCACCGCCATGTCGAATGACCAAAATCTGAGTGGGTAGAGCTGGGCAGGGATTTGCGAAAGCAAGCCTTCAACAATTTAACCAACTAGGGTCATGGCCTCTGCGACAAGTCAGGCGCGCTAACAGTTGGAGGCGGGTGACGAGGAAGAATCATCATGAACGCGTCAGTGGCCCGACATATATCCGGTTTGCCTCGGAGGATCTTGCTATCCAACCCATGCCGGGTCAAAACCTCCATCATGGAAGTCTCAGGATGTCCGACTCGCTAACTCGCGCCGACTACCTTGACCGATCCCCGTGTCTTTCACTTGGTTTGGCTGAGCAAGTAGCACCGCGTTGAGTCTGTGCCACTCATTGAACCCTCCCCCGGACTAACATGGAAGCTCCCAGGAACCCTTTGGAAGACTTGCTCCGATTTACAGAGGCCTTCTGAGAGCTTCTATGTTGGTCTGAAAAACAATTACTAGCTCAAGAAATTTGGACCAACAAGTTGTCTGAAGCACTTCAGCCGGCCTCGGCGCTGGCCGGCGCAGGCGGAAGAGTTCATCTGGGCAGAAAGCACTGGACCGCAAGGAACGTACGAGGGTGGGCTGCGTAACATGGAGCCCGAACAGGGCCTAAGGTAGAATGGGGGGAGATTCGGGTCAGGAGAGCATTAGGGTTGTGAGGATGAGGGGCTGCATCCCACTGCGATAACAAAGTTTCTTCCTGTTTAAGAGAATCAGAGGGCCCGCTACCGGGTTGAGACCCTCTGTGGGTGGAACCCGTCTGCAACCGTCTGCCATGGCCTCCAATGAGCCGAAGGGCAGCTGGCGCCGCCACACGGCCTGCAGAAAACACGCTAATGGCTTGGGTGCTTTATTGATGGTCCCCCTTTTTGGGGGTTCGCTTAAAGGAACGCCAGGAGAAAACACACAGCTTCTGGGAACAGTAGCCCTCCAAGACATGCACACCAAGGGTTTTGAGAACTTTGAGAAAGGGATCTCCCTGAGATGTGTTTCCTGGGCTCAGAATGAAGAGTTGGCCAATCCTAATTCAACCCTATTGGAAACCACGCAGGGCACCGAACCTTTTTCCAACACAAGGTAGCAAGGATGAAGGATTGCCTTTGAAGTCTTGGTTGCAGTTGACCCCCCTGCAAAAAGTGGACAACTTTTTGGGGGTTTAGTGGAACACACTTTTATTTCCCAAAAAGTTAAAGTCTAAAGATCTAACCCAATAGCAGTCATGAAACAGTGCCTTGTTTGGCTCCCTTCGGCAAACACAGGAAATGGGCTAACTGTTTGACACGCAACGAATGAAGCCGAGCAATAGAACTTAAACAACGGCAGGATCGTAGCGGAACACAACAAACGGGATGTCGCCACTCGCATGGGCCAGCGGCTAGCGCTTTTTTGGGCACCGCATCCTGCCACTTATGTGCGCTTCATGCCTGTCCTTTCGGCTTGAAGTACGGGCAGGGTCTAACGGGAAGGCGCGTCTGAATCCATGAGCGCTAGCGTCGAGCTTATGGCGTTTGAGTATGGATGGGCGTTTGGAGTGCACTCAGCCAAAGTGAAGGTGATCAGTGGCACAGTCAGGGGATCCTTGATTGGGAGACTCACTAACCCATAGCTAGGCACTGCCTGACCATCCCGGCCAGCGCGACCCGCAATTTCAGGGGCTTGCTCCAAAAGGGACACGGCAGGTTCGACTGAATCCAGGCTTCGCACGAATCACAGCTTGCCATGTGAGTCCCATCTCAGCCTCCCATCGACAATCCCTCTGGAGCTATGGGATTCTCAGACCCTAGGCTGGCTTGCGCTCATTTGTAGCCCCACGGGGTCCGATCTGATGGGCTGGACTTGGTTGACGTTGGAAGGGGAGCAACGATTTAAGTTTTAGCAGTTAAGTGGGGATTTCCCACTAAACCACAATAAGCAAAAATGTAAAATGTTTCCCCACAACAACCATGTGGATGTCACAGTTCTAAGGGCAAAGATCGTGGGGGGCGGCTGGGACCCACGGCGAGCAGAAAGCAGCCATGCCTGGATTCTGGCAGAGCGGCACGAGAGCAAGCCGCGCTCTCAAGTTCCATCAAGATAGGTTCGGGTATTTTGCAACCCCCGTAAAAACCCAAAGGGCACCTTAAGATTGTGCCTGAAAAGGGGCTCGGCGGCCTTTGGTTGCCTACAACCCCCTTTTTGAAAGAAAAGTAGCAACCCAAGATTTTGATCCGAATGGCAGTTTGAGGCTTCAGCTCACCCCAAATGAGCTGCCAGTGTGAGGCCCCGTGCAGCGGAGGGCTCCGTTTAGTGCTAGAAAATTGCCTCCCAAAGACAGAGAATCATTCGGGGGGGGTTGTGCGGTACAATTAAACCGACATGCCTCGCGATTCTGGGATTCGACCATGTTTGGAAATCTATCTGGGCACTTGTCCGCGAATCTTGGGCGGGTCCCACCTGAAATTCTGCATCATGCAGCGCCTGGAAAAAGCACCAGAGAGCCGCTGCGCGAAAACGGAGCTCACTCCGAGTGTTTGTCTCTCCTGGAGAAAGGGCGCGGGCCACAAAAGGCAGAATCGGGGCCACAAACGAACAAGAACATGGTTGAACCCGTCATTCTTAAGATGTTTTTCCGGTATCACAGAAATGGCCCCTAACACCCATTTTTTTCACAAACAAATGTAAACTTGTCCCTACCAACGGGTGCCTGTCGCCCTAGCTGCCGGTGGCCACGACAAACATGTCTTATCTCAGCCTTTGACAGCCCGGCATATCGTTGCGCTCTGTTCGAGCAATGAAAACATGAACGCAAACAAATCATGAGGATGGAAGTCCAAACCTGAATGCCAGCAGAAGCGACAACATGCCCCCGTACTCCTAGTAGGTACGTGTACGATTGCACTTGGGGGTAGCGGTGGTTAGCAGCCCAAAGCAACAAAGCAACAAAGCAACAAAGCAACAAAGCAACAAAGCAACAAAGCAACAAAGCAACAAAGCAACAACGTCCCCTCAATCCTCTTTCCAACAATCCTGGCAGTGGACGTCAGAATTATAATTTTGAAGATGAGGGTCTTCGAAACCCCTCCTATCGCCCACTTCCGCTGGAGAAACATGCCCAAGGATTATGAAGCCGTGATCGATTCATGAAGGCCCTGGTTTGGAGGGAAATTTGATCTTCTCACTTTTGGTGGACCTGCACCCGATCGACCACATGCGGCTGCAGGTTTTGAACTGAACCAACAAATTTGTCCTCTCCCTGGGTGGTTTGGGGAAAGGCGCAATTCTTCATAAACAAGGGGGGTGGTCTTGATGATCTTGAATTTCCGCCGTTAAATGGGTGAGTGAAGCGCGAGGCAGCAATGGAAAGGCTGAGAGTTGTCCAGGTGCCACCAGCAAACTGGGTGGCGCAAGCACTCTCCATGTCAAGAAGTATAGTATGCTTGCGCCACAGAATGTGTGTTGTTGTTGTTGGCACATTCTGATATGCAATAGTGTTTGTTGTTGGAACATTCTCCATATCATGGAGGGAGTGATAGGTTCCAACACACACATTGTGGCATGATCGCATTTGAGCAACGCTTCCTTTGGTTTTCGCACTGGCTCCTTACTGCAAGGGAGTGTCTTCACATTATCATACTTTGCCACGACGCCAATGTGGTCGTTGTGTACAGGCTTCTGGCACGATGCAACTCACCAAGCCATAGGTCCCACCCCGGCAAGGTTAGAACCTTCCTGGAACAGGGGTCACTGGATTCCCTTCAAAAGTTGCAATTTTACTGGTGGCTTCCATTGAAACTGCCACTTTTGGAGGTGCCATCAAAGGGAAATGGAGGACACCCTGTACAAGGAGATCTTACAGTCTCTTCTGCATCTCTCACCGCTCCTCGCATGCTCCAGGTCGGCGCTTGTGAGCCAAACACTCTGACCACTGCTGGGCCGGAAGTAGCACAGGCTCCTGAGCCAAGATTCACGGGCCTGTAGCAACTCAATATTCTTTCATTAGAAAAACCGAAAAAAGACGTGACTACTCGAGACAGCTACATCTTCTGCAACTGTCCCTTTGATTTCAACTGGGATGCTAGTAATTGTTAGGCTTCTCTGACGCAAGCACAGGACCAAGGGTGAGACGGCTGCCTGGGAAATGTTTGGGAATCGCTAAGTGCCACGGCTTGTTCATTGCAAAACCCGTGTTCGCTCACTGGGCTCAACCGCCCACGGGCCAAACAAGGCCTCCTGATGGAACACAATACTTGTCCTACATTGAAGTTTATTTCTTCAGGCGCCTCGTGAAAATTTCAGCTGACACGACTCAACTGGGAATCCACTGCGAAAATGCGCGAATGCCACGTCAGTCGTTTGCCCAACGCGAACACCGCGCTACAAGTTGCAATGGGCAAACTTCAAGGGATACCGCGCCATCTTGCGATGCTTTGCTTCTCGGCCATTGTGTCACCTTGCCTTTTGGAAAACCATCAATCACAGAGCTAGCTCTCGTGCGCACTTGCACGCCACGGGGCCTCATGCAAACATTTCACAGCCTAATCCAAATCCAAACACCTGCCCGCTGCGACAGTTGTGGTTGGTTGTCAAACGTGTTGTCGCCAGCCCTCCTCGAAATCAATAACGTAATAGTATGCAGTTCGACCATTGCATCTGAACTTCAAGCAAATACCTGACATGCCCGGCGGCCAGTGGTAACACACATTTTGTGAAAGGATTGCAGCAATCAGCCAGTTCTTCCCTTCAAATAAGATGTAATGTCAAAAAGAGGGGGATGGCCATGAAACTCAAGTCTTGGATTCTTCCACGGCGGCAAATGTCAAGACCCCTGTTGGAAGAATCTGATTTATGATTCAAGGGCTCGCTGCCCGCAGGGATTGTGCGGGCAGGCTGACATGTGTCAATCCCGGCGCGACCTGGAGTCACCTATCATGTATACCGCGAAGTGTCTTGCCGACGAGTGGCGCTTGCTCCTCTGCAACCACTGTGCCTTGAGGCCGCGTCCACACCAATAACGCCAAGCGCTCACCGCTGCGTACACCTGCGCATGGCGCTCGGACAGGACATGTGTCAATGCAAGAAACGCAACAAAGACAACATGCAACAAAGTCAGCATCTCTTGATGCGGGCCTCAGAGATACCAACCTTTTGCAGGAAGCAAGAACAAACACAACAAAAACTGAATGCCTGGTTGCATATAGTTGCTTCTTCTCATTTTCCCTTTGGCGTTCGGCAAAGCTGTAAACA